CTTTCTTAGTTGTTAGATCAAGGTTACAATGGTCAAGGCCTCAGTAAAGCTTTCAAAACGTTTTATGGTAGACATGTGGAGGACATTTCCAAATTTGACTCATCAGTGACAAAAATGATGTTTGATACAATTCCTTATTTTGACTTGCACCATATGTTCCCATTTTTCCCATATTTGTTTTTCAGGCAAACAGTTGACATGCCTTTGCATGTGTTTGTGGTTGGTGCCACTGGTGGGGCAGGATACACTCACCTTAATGCGAACACCTGGTATGATAACTATATTTGATAGTGATTCATAAACACATGCTCATGATTTAGTACAATTACTTTGCAGTAATTTCTAATAAATATTGAAAGGGTTTTGTCGCTTTTATTTATGCAATATCTGTATGTCATACTCGTCATGTTTTATGTGTATTTTAATGGTTGCATAGCAACGATTTACTGTCCATCATTTCCAGATAACATGCAAGGCATGTTGAAGAAGGGTACTGAATTATTCATGACATCTGATTAAATCTTTCAGATGTAACAAGAAACTTAAAGTACTATGAATCTCACTGATGAGGTCACAATACTAAGTATCACAACACACACAACCTGATGGTATTCATGTCCACGACGGGGGCACGGGTGGCCCAGTCGTCTAAGGCGCCGCGATTCGCTGTGTGCAGAGTTGCGTCCCTTGGGCACGCCAGAAACCTATGATTGTGGGTTCGTATCCCGATTCGCCCCGATTATGTTTCTAGGTTTGTCAGCACCATACCCGTGCTCGTGGGTTTCACCGAAGTGGTAAACGTCTGAGACCTGCATCACTTCGGGCTTTCCTCCCACATTAAGCTGACACGCCACGATATGATTGTAATACTGTTAAAAGCGGCGTTAATCCCAACTCACTCACTCACTCATGTCCCCGACTATGACAGTGCATTTTTTTAATTGTTGCACTGATGAGCTGTTACAGCCCAATTCATCTTGATAGATTTTAACAGTAATCATGGTATCTAATTGAATACCATTGTCCAAACTTTAAAGTCCAAAATGAAGTTGTGAATTTGAAAACTCATTGAAAACTCATTTCCCAATTTTATCATATTGTCCACCCCAATGATTCATCACTTTATGATTACAAGACTTTGTACACTAATACATCTAGCAAGGAAGTGATGTCTTTACCCCATCACCTATAACTGAGAGAAGGGTACAGTAAACTATAGTTACAACATTCTCAAACTTTTAGTTCATTATAACCGTAGTGGGTTGTAAGCATTTATACAGCAAAGGCCGGGACCAAAAAGCAGTTCGTTATATCCGTCAGTTTGTTATAACCGTGTTCGTTATGAACGTAGTGTATATGGCTAACACCTACGGGTAATCTCGATGATGTTACTAGTTTCAAGCTGGGTTGCTTTCATCTGCTTAGTAATTTTCATTAAAACAAATGTGAGGGCGGTCGAGTAGCCTTATGGTTAAAGCGTTTGCTCGTCACACCGAAGACCCGGGTTCGATTCCTGACATGGGTACAATGTGTGAAGCCCATATCTGGTGTCCCCCGCTGCGATATTGCTGGAAATATTGCTAAACGCGGTGAAAACCAAACTCATTCACTCATTAAACAGATGTGACACAGAATCAACTATGAACTCTACAGTGAGGGACAACTTGATTATTCTTTAAGTTGATATCATGAAATGTTGTGGAGTTTTGAAATTTGGAAATTATGATTTTTTTGTCATATTTTTTAGATTATTTTTATTGTTATACAGTCAAACACTGTTGTGTCAAACTTTGTTGTGTCAAATTTATGGTTGCCTCGAAGTAACAGCGTCGTCCCTGTATATTCCTTCTTTATTTATCAGGGCGGTCGGGTAGCCTAGTGGTTAAAACGTTCATCACACCGAGGACCTAGGTTCGATTCCGGACATGGGTACAGTGTATGAAGCCCATTTCGGCTGTCCACCGCAGTGATATTGGTGGAATTGCTAAAAGCGGAGTAAAACCATTCTCACTCACTCAGTTTATTTCTCTTTATTTATCCTCTGATTTGTCGAATCGATGTGGATGATACGGTTGTCTCAAAGTCATTTTCCAGTCCCAAACATGTACTTCCAGAACAAGTTTATAAGTCAAGTATTTTGTTTGTCGCATATGTTTCAGGTTTCGGTAAATATACATTTGGTAAATATACACCAGTTCATGTTTCAATTGTGTCTATCCTTGACACAAGGGTGTTTGACTGTATTTTATTGTATATGCATCAGTGAACTATGGATGTAACACACACATTTCAACAGTTTCTTACAAGCATTTTACTGAGTGTCGACTCTGTCTATAATACATCACCCACTTAAAGGGATAATTTGGTTTGGGTGGCAAATAAATAAGATCACATTTCAAGCGTGTATTTATTTTTTGTGTTATGGTTTGTTTGTTCTTTAACGCTGTACTTAGCTGTAACATCATATGCATAGATCCACACAACTCGGATTCGATGACAAACATCAACCAATCATTGAGCCTGACCACCCGATCCCGTTAGTCACCCCTTACGACAAAGTCGCCTTTTACGGCAAACATGGGTTGCTGAAGACCTATTCTACCCTGGATCTTCACGGGTCTTGTGTTATGGAAGATTGATTCTGAGTTCACATGGGACTAATGATTGCTTCACTTGCCTGCTGGATAGAATATGGAGTCCATGTAGGTGCTTGACAAACTGTACAACTCTCGGAATGTTCGGTATAATTCAATACACTTACTACTGTCATACACATCTGTGAGAAAATGATAGATCAGTCAAAGGTTACCCAAGAGGTGTGCCAAAAGATGTAGTCAAATTATATTTGAAGAAGAAGGCTGAGAAGAAGTTGATCGACACAGTTTCTGGGCATAGTGTCAGTACTTGGCTTTGGGGCCACCATGTGACCAAAGTTAAGTCTAGAATTTGCTGACTGTTATTGTATCGGATGAAATGTACTTATGCTCAATCTGTTCACTGTTGTGTCGGTGGATGCATTTTCAGGTAACGGAGTCAGTGAGTTATTGCTGCTTTGAAGTAAGACCATATCATTCCATGAACTATGTTTACCCGTAAAGTCTTAACTTTGCTCTACACTTACATGTAACATAGACGCTCTGGGAACATAATGTACATCATGAAATGTGCGGAATGATTTAATGAAATGTTTTCTTTATAGCTTACGTGGATCGAACTTACAACCTTCGCATCTCTAGCCAGATTAGTGAACCACTAGGCTACAGAGGCGCTGACAAATCACAATGTCTTTAAGAATCTCAAGTACATGTTCGCCACCAGCAAGATATGTTTTACGCCCTAAGGTCCATTGGAAGTATGTTTGAAACTTAAAATTGTTGATAAATGTTTTAAAAATTCTTTTCGGTGTATAAATTAGAACGTCTAAGACCTGCATCACTTCGGGCTTTCCTCCCATATCAATCTGACACGCCGTGATATAACTGTAATACTGTTCAAAGCGGCTTTGCACCAAACCCACTCTCTCACTTATGTCATAAACGGGAATGTGTGGGTCGTGTTCTCCGATGATATGTCGACCTTGCGGCTCCGTCCGTCGGTGGGTGGGTCTGTAATGTGATACTTAAAATACAAGCCCTACTTTACACCCGATGTACAACCACGTTACGTACAACTGATTCCGCTACACCCAATAGCACTTTACATAACGCATCACCATTTGCATAATGCTTGCCAGACAATTCTTTCTTCGTGTTTTGGAAGAGGTGGAATCGGACGGAGCCGAATCTGGTGAATACGGAGGATGCTCAATGAGTTCAAAGTCAGGGCCATGCATTGCAGCCATGGCGACAGACCTGGTTGACGCATGTAAGCGTATCACATTTGCGTGGATCGATGCTCCTGGTGTCAATCGCTGGATTGACTGGTCTAGAGTCGATAATTTACAGAACGCCGTCATTTAGCTGAAACAAACGTCAGACAATAAAAAATCAAACAATCAATCAAACAAACAAATAAACAAAACCCTCGAGTTTAAGGTGGTTACCTTTACGTTCAGAAATTATGTCACGGCACTGTTGAATCACATATGGAAACAATATATCTGGTGACCTCATGCGAAAAGGGACATCCAAAGACGGCAACGTGTTTCTTTATACTCAGAGTAACGCGGGGGCGGGCCCAGAACAATCACATTAAAATCTCTTTTTCGATGCGTGAAGATCCAGGGTAGAACAGGTCTTCAGCAACCCATTCTTGCCGTAAAAGGCGACTATGCTTATCGTAAGAGGCGACTAAAGTGATCTCTTTATCAGGCTATGCCGACAAGCAATCAGCCGATTCACAGAGACAGATCACTGGACTGGACCCTTTTCTTCTCGGGAACCGCCTAAGGGACAATGTAAATATATGAATATATCATTGACGCCCCTTTGAACAGTATTTCAGTTAAAGATTGTTTGTTTGTTGTTTAACGCCGCACTCAGCAATATTCCAGCTGTATGACGGCGGTTTGTAAATAATCGAGTCTGGACCAGACAATCCAGTGATTGACATCATGAGCATCGATCCACGCATTTGGGATCCGATGACATGCATCAAGCAAGTCAGCGAGCCTGACCACCCGATCCCGTTAGTCGCCTCTTACGGCAAGCATAGTATTTTACTTCATTTAAAGGACATAACGGCGTGTCAGTTGATCTGGGAGGAAAGCCCGAGGTGATGCAGGTTTAAGACTTTTACCACTTTGGTGAAATCCACGAGCACGGGAACAGTGCTGACAAACCTGGAGACCTAATCGGTGCGAACCGGGGTTTGAACCCACGATCATAGGTTTCTTGCACACCAAAGGGACGTCACTCTGCAAAGCGAATATTTGAATCGCCTTAGACGACAGGGCTACCCGTGCCATAAATAGTGTGATGGCCTATATTGACATGGTCGTGTCTAAGTGACAAACTAAAGTAAACATTCACACAGGGTGGTAGTATATGAAATCAATACTAGTTTTGCTAGGCATTATACAAACATCCGAGTTCACAGCGACATATACCAGAACACGAATGCATACCGACGTGATTACACAGTCACTCAGTTGACACGACTAGCACGCAGTAAGTCGCCCATACAGACTTCCGGGAAGAGTAATTTATGATCGCCAAGGTAATTGTGTGTTGATCTGTCAGATGTTCGAACCACAGGTAGTGGCTTGTAAGTACGAGGGGTGGTGATGGGCTTATTCCCATTGCGGGTGTCAAGCTATATCGTTTGAAAACTTTGAAATATTGTTAAGAATAAGATGGGGCATGTTTATATGAATGACTTCTATTCACAATCTACATCCATAAGGGAGCTAGGCCGCAACCTCATATTCTAATTAGACCGATAGTGTACTGGTGTATGTATTAGATATATAGAGAATCTCACCATCGTGTCTTTTGATATCAAATATATCAACACAAGTTGATAAATGTAGAAAAAACTCCGAGGCTTGCCGAGGGTTTTTTCCACTTTTATCAACGAGTGTTGTTATATTTGATATCAAAAGACACGAGGGTGAGATTTTATTTATTGTCCAACTTCATTCGTCCAACATTTTCAGTTTGTAGACAGTGATAAGCAGTGTCTTAAGTGTAAAAAGTACTGCTAATAGCTTCAGTAGCAGAGCCATTAGTGATGTAATTTGATTGTGACGTCATGGTAACCAATGATGTCACAATGGTCTGCAAAGCATTGTGATGCAGTTTCATTGCAGGGATAATGTAGATATCGCTTGATCTCACCCAAGCGATATCTCTGGTGGGAGCCAGTTTTGGATGATAAAATAAAATAGATAAGATAATTGGATAAGTAACCCAATTACGTCATTACATAAGACATATATTTTTCACTAGAATGTCCAATATGGAAGACGAATATGACTTCTCTCACCCCGAGAGAGGCGTGGCTGTCATTATCAACAATGAGGCGTTCTCCACACCGGGGCAAGAAGAATCCGATGACCGTGCGGGTTCGTCATATGATGCTGAGGCATTGGATACCATGTTCACTGGGCTTGGGTTCAAAGTTCACAGATACGACAATCTCACGTCATCAGCAATGGTTGAGACACTGACAGCAAGTAAGAATCGAGCAAACGTGTTACACATGGAAATGGGTTGATGATGACCTCTTAACAAACCACTTTCGTGTTTAATGAATTAAACGTACAATTTGACATAGAACTTAGAAATATAAACACGATGATGTGTAGAATGAAAGTATTTGATATGAAAATGTATTGACACGTATTAACTTACGGGCAAAAGAAGGTAGACGCCCATGTTTCATGGTGTCAGAAATGACTTTAAAAACGCCCATAGTTTTCTCCCCTGTTTTCTCAGGTGAACGTTTGAAGTACTTTTGCATGTGCCCTTTGTGACGGGTGCCCCCGGTGGGGCAGGATACGCTCACCTTTTCGCGAACCCCTGGTATCATCGCTGTTTGATTAGTTATTCATAACTATGCTCATGATATAGTTAGAATCGTGCAATCGACTCTGCTTTTAGCAGAGATTTCTATTGAATATGGAAGGGTTTTGCCGCTTTCATTTATTAACATCAGAAGTCACTAAAATGAAAATCCAACCCTATTACGAGCAAAAGCTATCACTACAATTCAAACTACCTGAGACAGCTGGGCCCATACATATTCATTTATAGATCCGAGAATACTATCAACATCACTGCTGGGCACGAAATCCATGTCCATAGCTGCAAACCACAAGCACATTCGGTTCGCTTGCATGATGGTCAGTAGGTATTCACTGCAAGTCATCATACATCATGCAACTCATACCGGAACTATTAAAGTAAAGGCGGTCATCCTCTCAGACTCGCTAAGAGCACTCCAAGCGATCAGCGGCAGATACTCAAACTCCAGACCAAACACAGTCACTAATATTATATTCGGATACACAAAACTATCGGATCAAGGAACACAGATGGAGCTGTGTTGGATTCCGTTTCACATAGATATTTATGGGGAAAAACAGACACACAAGCGAAGCCAGATCTAGACAAAGCGGAGATACAATCTAAATATTACCTTCACCAAACCAGAGATAAAAAGCAAAATCAAAGCCTCCATAGGACGCAAGTAAGATAGGCTATACAAAAGTCAATCCAAAATGTCCAAAAGCCATATTCAAATGAAAGGAAAGTTGAAGTAGCCATCTCACGCCTCAGACTCGGTCACCAAAAGCACTATGACAGAGTATGGCCATCATGCAATGAAAGTGAATCCATTGCTCACTTGTTACTGGAATGCCAAGACCATGCATGACCCAGCCCGGGGTCGGTGAAAACAAGAATTGCAGTTAGATCAGCTATCTGTTGTAGATCTCCTAAAGCAAAGAGATGCAATAGCGAAGGCAAAACAGAGCAGCCAAGACATTAATTGTATTAATTTTTAAAAATCATATCAATGCGAAAAAAAGAAATCTTATCAATACTTAAACTCACAACTGATATGAGTACCCTACCCACCCACACGAGTCCCAACGAGGGGCAGTTCAACCGACATTGCAAAAGGCAACCCCTTGAACACTTTAAGCAACAACAACCACGTTTCATTATCACTTTGAGGTAGACACGCCGGACACAATGGATGACACCTTTCCTGAAGAGTTGTTGAAACTAAGCTTTTCTTATACCAAATCTGTATTGCTCACGAAAGAAGAGTATTTCCTATTGCTGGTAAATGTTGCATCTGCTGCTGAAAAGTCTCCAATGTAGTGACGCTGAGAAGCTGTCCAGAAGAGCAACAGCCAGTCTACTTTACACATGTAGAAGACATGCCTATGGACCTTTCACGTTTGCAGATCCTTCTCAAGACTCCGCCAGCAACGACACTCCAGCAACTGCTTCATCTGAATGCGAAACATCATCAGTGACCAGATCCAAGCGACACATGATAGCATTCCAGTGAAACCGCAAGAGGACAGCTGATGGTCAACTGGCTAAAGCAGAACGCATCGTGAAGCGCAGCCGCGTTTAATATGCTGCTGGCAACCCTGGCGATAATATCACTGTTCCCATCCCTTTAGTAGACCACAGTAAAAATGATCCTCGAAACATCACGCGTGTCACCTTACTTACTTACTTACTTACTTTGGGGCGGTCGGGTAGCCTAGTGGTTAAAGCGTTCGCTCGTCACGCCGAAGACCCGGGTTCGATTCCTGACATGGGTACAATGTGTGAAGCCCATTTCTGGTGTTCCCCGCCGTGCTGGAATATTGCTAAAAGCGGCGTAAAACCATACTCACTCACTCACTCACTACTTACTTACTTACTTACTTACATTAGAGATTTTACGTGCGCTTTCCGACTGCAGCGTATGTCGCCAGGCCAGGTCATTTAGTGTATTAGGGGGACAACACTGAAAGTGTACCCCAGGTGGGGGGTTAAAGTGGCTGCTTGTTTAGTAATTTTGAAATTTTGAGATTTGGAATAAATGCTAGGGGGTAGGTGGGAGACCTAAGGGAGCTGTGTGTGGTTTGTGATTGTTTGTTTACGTGGTTAAAATTATAACGAGTATTGTCATTGTCATTTGTCATTGTCAGTATTCCGAGTTTTAGATGCGATTAATTAGTTTAGTTTTTATTAGGTAAATGCCTAGGGCATTGTTGGCTGTGTAGGGCCGAGGCCATGCCCATGAGTGTCACCTTGGACAGGAATAATAATGACTTATATTGTATAGCAGTTCGTGCCGGTGTCCTGAAACGCATGTTTGTAAAGACATAGACGTTTACTGTTCATAATGAGTCTAAATGTGGTGGACAAGGCTATGCTAAATGTAACTGCAGTAAAAGTGGTAAACAGTGCAGGAAAAATAAGTGTAAATGCTTCAAAGCTGGGCTGAAATGTAACAACATATGTCACGCCAGCATTACCTCAACAAGGACTCATTCATGTGTTCTCGGGGCACGGGTGGCCCAGTCGTCTAAGGCGCCCCGATTCGCTGTGCAGAGTTGCGTCCCTTGGGCACTCCAGAAACCTTTGATTGTGGGTTCGAATCCCGGTTCGCCCCGATTGTGTTTCCAGGTTTGTCAGCACCATACCCGTGCTCGTGGGTTTCACCGAAGTGGTAAACGTCTGAGATCTGCATCATTTCGGGCTTTCCTCTCACATTAAGCTTACACGCCGTGATATAACTGGAATACTGTTAAAAGCGGCGTTAAACTCAACTCACTCACTCACTCACTCATGTGTTCTCAATGATTCTGTTTGTTTTTACAGACACATGTTGTTGGATAATGAAGTATATTGCTAGTTTATTTCATATGATATATCATGTCAATAAAGATATTTATAAACAATTTTTCTTACAATTACAAGTTTCAGTCAAAGTGTCAAATATTCTGCCTGACGTTGCAGTCAATTTGTCAAATGACTGAAAATTCCAGTACTTTTCCAAATTTGAATGATTTTACACATTGACTGTAACATATACAAGTGTAATGAGAACATTATATTCTGTAGTCGCTGACATGGAAATTCACTCAAAGTCCGATTGTTTTGCGTGTGCTATTCTGTCCCACGGTGGCGATGCCGTGATCCCTGACAACACCCCCGGGGCAGTGCTGCTGGAGCGCCAGGATTACGTATTGGGAGTTGACGGTGGGGTTGTGTTGGTAGCCAGCATCATCAGCATCTTCAGCGATACACGATGCCCGGGACTAGTGGGGAAACCCAGGCTATTTTTCTTCCAGGTTTGTCCGAATCACACTGGTCATCGTCGCCATATACATCATCACTGCCACCATCGTCATCATCTCCAGCCTCATCTACACCACAACAACCAACATCGTCGTCCTAACTGGATATTCTCAACGCTGTCATCAGCGATATCATTTCCACCATAGCCATGATTAACGTCATCAGTATCGTACTAATCATCGTAATCATTAGTGTGTATAATGTCATCCTTGTGATGACCATGGTATTGAGAACATCATCATTAGATCAACACTTTATCAATAAAATATACACTGAACAAACAAGTTGGGATCATGAATATTATGGGGGATATTTTTGTAGTATAGTGAGTGAGTGAGTGAGTATGGTTTTACGCCGCTTTTAGCAATATTCCAGCAATATCACGGCGGGGGACACCAGAAATGGGCTTCACACATTGTACCCATTGTAGTATAGACTGAGGACACAATTTCATAAAAATATCTCATGATCTCCAATTTATTTTTTTGAGTACTCAATCCATGTCAGTCAGATTATCGGTAAACAGTTGTAAATGGTAATACGAGGTGGGGGGATATATTCAACAGAGTTAACGGAGTATATATTTGATCTGTATAACCTAGCTTGACTATACCTATATTTGTCATGGCGTTATACTCCAAACCTACAGGCCTGTCGTGGAACCAATATGGATTCTGGGGTAGGTGTCAAAGTGAGAAAGACCAAGGTTAACCCGGATGTGAGAACTCCGCGGGAAGGTGATGGGGCTGAACAGACTGACCACAAGGATGCCGAGGAAGGTAACGTCGACATAGAGGACAGCAACGTAGAAACCAATTACGACAGCGACATTGACAACACTGACAGCATAACCCTCCGCCCAGTGCTGTCTGTCTCCCCTTCAAACATCAACAAGGATATCCTGGTGATGTACGCAACGCCTCCAGGTAAGAAGAATAATCATGATTCGCGAGTTGCATCACATATCTGACGAGCTGGACTCAATGAGTATATCTGGAATATTGCTGAGTACGGTGTTAAATACACACACACCACACCTCACCACACCACACCACACCACACCACACCGCACCGCACCGCACCGCACCGCACCGCACCACATCACGCACGCACGCACGCACGCACGCACGCACGCACGCACGCGCGCACGCACGCACAGTGTTGTCCGCCGTGATATTGCTGGACAATTGCTAAAATCACTCATCACTTTCAGGATGTCTGACTGTCTTTTCAGGTTTCTATGCATGGCGGAGGGACACTGGTGCGTGGTTTACACAGAGTCTTCGGACGATTCTAACACCGTATAATGCAACGTACTGGTCACTCACAACGTTGCTGACCCATGTAAATAAAAGGGTAGCAGTATGGTATGAATCATCGTACCCAGGCGATACTTCCATGAACGAAAAGAAGCAAGTTCCTTGCATCACCCACATGCTGACCAAGGACGTGTATTTCAGACCAAAAAACATGAAGCATTCGACTTTGGTTTAGTTTTATACGATGGATCATGAGTATCCATGTGATAAGACGCTGTAACCCGCTGTTGCGTCCCTTAGTTACAAGGATCTGCTGACTTGATTAAATTATCGTTGTGTGATACCATTAAGTTCTTTTAGTGATTAATCACATACAGTAAACTACGTTTATAACGAACACGATTACAACGAATTGGCGGATATAACGAACTGTTGTTTTTTGTCCCGGCTATTGGCGGTATCCTTTAGTTGAAACGCTTATAACGATCTACGGTTATAATGAACAGAAAATATTGGTCCCTTTGAGTTCGTTATTACCGTATTTTACTGTATTCTTATTTTGATGATATTAATATCGTCCTATCCAAATACCTTTGGATATTACATGCGTATTCTCTGAATATTGTATCAATTTGCTTTCAAAAATACAGCAGCATGGACTAACATATTTTAACTTGGAAGCCCTTGGTGTCGCTGTTGTCCTTTTCTGAACATCGCAAACCAAGACACACCCGAAAAACTCAGCACGTTCAGATTATGAACATCTTACAATTTTTGATTAATACAGCAACATGTAGAGATGTACTTATTTCAACTAGACCCTCGCCCATGGTGTTGATGTTTCAATAGAAACAATCGCAGAGCAAGCACGATACACCAGGTGAAGGTATTGCTACTTTTGGGTGTGACTGGACAGTGTACACCACCAGATGATTCAGACAACACAACCACCTCACTTCAAGATCTCGCTGTGGTGCTTACCTCCACTCACACTCTGATGGCTACTTTAAATGTATGATGTATACTTTATGATGTATTACTTAAGATGTTCCACTTTGCAAGGGGAAAATGTAGGATTCTCATTCTTTAAGGACAAACGTGATGTCTTTGAGGCTGCAAGAGAATGTCTGGACTGAAGTTCAGAAATTTGGGTTTCTGGGGATTTTACAGAGAGTTGGTAAAATTAGATTGAAATAATTTTCCTTAATGAAGGCGGCACGAGATGAAGGTAAACAGCACATATGACTTATGATAAATTGGTGATTGATGGGAAAGTGTTTCCTGTATATGAGGAGAATTATGAAATGACTCTGAAATTGCACGTGCATGCCCGGTCATTTCATGCATAAAATCTCCTGAGTATGAAACTCACCGCGCATTCATAATACACGTGACACAGAGACAATTCCAACACAGAGTAAATCGTTGACGTGTTTCAACTGTTGAAAACAACTTTGTTGACTGCCACAGCTCGAAAACGTTACTACACGCCTATCTGAATATGAACAATTGGAATGCTTGAAACTGGTATAGCACAAAACGTTGTAATTGTACGTTTTGGTGTTCATTGTTACACATACAGTCACTCTTTGGTCGCTACCAACAGACTGGCAACACCACGGACCGACCACGTTCCGGACGTCCACAAGTTACGTAACGTCGGCAAGATATGCATATCCGTCCGGTTCACATGGAAGTCGGGTTCTGAATGCAACTTTAATATTCGTGGCTTACGTCCGATTTGTGCAAGGACTGTGAGGAATCGATTACGAGTACATAGCACCTACGAGTGCCTTCTCAAAACTCTGTTCTGTTCACTTGCAACATGGGTGGACATTACCCTACTGCTACATGACGTTACGTCCCTGCATTTGCAAATGAAGATGATCTCAAACAATATCGTCCCGGTACGCACGCCATTCAAATTACCATTATCAAAGATGAGTTGTGCTCTCGCATGAGTTGTGATGCGTTCTCCACTTCAGGTATTTTGATGTGCGCTCTTACTTTTATTAAAGAGTGTATCGTAATGAGATAACTCGAGACTCTTCGTGTTCAAGGGAAGCATCATCGAAACTAGAATCCAAAACAAAAGTCTTCACCAATAGCTTAATATTTACTTTTATAGTAGGTCAATTAAGTTTTCAAAACGATTACAGCCTCAAAACTTGACAAATGAACTGTCAACATTATAGACGGCATGAAAAACATTCAACCTCCTGTATTCCTTCCCTAAAGCGTCGTAAAATCAGTAATGATTTATAGACACTGAGAGCTGTGCAATGCAACAATTGAAATGTCTTTGCGGAATTATCTTTAGTTGTAGTTCCAATACACCGAGTGGACCAGCGTCACTGCAATCGGTGTCTTTCCCATGATTCAAAATAAACTAAAGTCACAATTGTGATTAAAAATAATGCAGTTAAGAACTTTAGCATTCACATTTAAAGTCATTATTATTAACGAACTTGGATCTCCATCAGTCTCTGAAGTATTGCTGTCAACCGGCACCTACAAGACTGAACATAGGACTCTGCGAGTGACTGTTGTATCCTTCACTCCAGCGGAAACTGGGAGTTTTTCACCAATTGTATGGTTCTTGTAGGGCTGGGACGGGTAACTCGGGCACTCGGGTCGGGTGGGTCCTGAGTAGGACACGGGTACCCATAGGACTACCCGCACCTGTGGTTAGTCACGTGATATATTGTTTAATGATAAAAACTCACTGTAGCTCAGTGGTTACACTACAAGTCGCTAATGTTTGCATTTCTTTTCTAACGACACACACATTCCTTTTGACTTGCATATGTTTGAGTAAAGATAACGCTTCAGTCAACTTCAGTGAACGCATGATCTGATCGTTTGATACATGTATCTGGATAGTTTTGGCCAGGGCTGCGGTAAAACACTTCCCAATCAGACATGTTGTACCCAACTCTTGAGACCTGCAGTGGGTACCCGGGTAGGGTCAGGTAATAGGGGGCCGGATACCCGGGTAGTAGATGTGGACTCGTCCCAGCCCTAGGTTCTCCTAAGTAAGAGTAAGTTGGCGCACTTTTCCATCCCTTCTTGGAAATGCTTCGTTGATAAGTCCGAGTCTATAGTACCCACGAATAACACCTTTCTCTGCAACAACATCGCCTGGCTTGAGATTGCAAGGTGAAGTTGACAATATGAGATCCAAAGTAAATGTCACCGGGTCGAAAAACCAGTCTAGTCCTGGTCTAGAGACTGCACCGCTCCCTCGCTTTAACTGTCCGGCTTCCGTCACCATTCGGCATTCGGTTTTGTTTGTTTGTTGTTTAACGCCGCACTCAGCAATATTCTAAGTTGATTTTGACAGCCCGGGCCAAGTCGGACCGAGCACAAGCCAAACACTTCTGATAGAGACTATGTTGAGAATGTAGAGGGAAAAGGGCTTCACTTTGAGCACCTTGTTTTCTTTAACTACCGCGATCTGAGACACTATAAAGTGGTATATAGGTAGATAAAATATTAATCTATAGGTATGAATCCATTTCATGTTACATCTGTGAGGTTTAAGTTGATTTTGAAAGCTCGGGCCAAGTCGGACCGAACACTTGTGAGACTGTTGAGACAATGGGGAGAAGAGGTCTACTTTAACCAACGTGTCTGCTTTAAATACGATGAACAGTGACATTATAAAGTGGCGTTTACTTAGATATAGTACCTTCCTATAAATATAAACGCTATGCCGACAGATGGAAATTTGTATCACGATAGCTAGAAGTATTTGACACGTTTCAAATCTTATTTCGTTTAACGATTGCTCTTTTATATGTTACCTAGATCAGCGACGCTTACCCACAGCTCAACTTTCTGGTTTTCAAGTGATTTACTCCGAAATCGTTAATTATGATGCACGTCTTTTGGTTGGTGATTGTTCAAAAGCAAACGAGATTATAGATGTTTTGCTACAGTTAACACGAATCAGGACATTGGTTAGTTTATATATATACAAAACAGGTGGGACGTTGTGAATACAACTAAATACATATCCCCGTAATGTGTAATGTAGTGCAATGAACAAGTTTCGAATAAACGTATTTTTAATTGTCATAACCTACCGTCATTACCTTTCGGACATATACAAAACATCGACCCAATAACTTACCTGGATGATCACGCATGTGTACACGTACCCAGTTAACACATGTTAAATATGGTAGAAACTTGTTCACGACAACCCACTAATAACGAGACATGTTTCCTTGAAATCTATGACAGATATATACAAATGCCATCTCAAAGGTGCTGACTGATCACTTTATGAAGCCGTGACCGAGGATCTATTAATTCTTTTGTCCGCGCAGCACACAACGTATGGGAGCCGCACGAATGTTGTTTTGGGCACAAATACCCTATGAAAGCGTGGTATTCAAGAAGGCAGGCGGGCTATTGGCTGTTGGTCGACTCTGAACAATGGTACCTCTGCGTACATATATGACTTGAATATCCTTTAACAACGACTTCCAGTGTCAGTCAGTCACTCCAGATTTTCTGTGGCATTAAGGTAGGAATCGGTTGTTTCTTCAAACATAAAGTTCGTATATATTTCCATTGCCTTTCTTGGGAGGGAAATTGACAGTGTTGTTTCTGGGATCAGGAATTGTTAAATGTGGAAGTAGTATATTTTCTTCGAATCTTGAGTTGTCAATTGTCTATAGATTGTCCGTAGATGTGTGTTCGGGAACCTGTGTCAAACAGTCAATCAAGCCACAGAGCCCGGTCATCTTAACGACAAACACGAAGTATTGTGGACATTTTATTAGGACAAGCTCAATGTACTGTGGACATATTCAAACGACAAGAACGAGGCAATGTGGACATATTCAAACGACACATACGTGGTATTCTGGACGGTTCTGTGGACATATTCTAACCCCAAACACACGGTACTGTGACATATTCTTACATGCAAGAGGCAATGTAGAACTATTCTTATGACAAACACACGGTACTGTGGACATATTCTTACATGCACGGGGCTGTCGGGTAGCCTAGTGGTAAAAGCGTTCGCCCGTCGCGCCGAAGACCCGGGTTCGATTCCCGACATGGGTACAATGTGTGAAGCCCATTTCTGGTGTCCCCCGCCGTGATATTGCTGGAATATTGCTAAAAGCGGCGTAAAACCGTACTCACTCACTCACTCACTTACATGCAAGAGGCAATGTAGAACATTTCTAATGTCAAACACGAGGTACTGTGGACATATTCTTACATGCATGAGGCAATGTAGAACTATTCTTATGACAAACAGGAGGTACTGTGGACTTTTTCGAACGATAAACACGAGGGAATGCGGAAACAATTTTACTACTGTGGAAATAGTATTTCAAGCACGAGGCAATGCGGAAATATTCTTATTACAAAAAACGGGGTATTGTGGACATGTTCTTCTTATTACAATGTGTACAAGGTGCTGTGGACGTATTCTTAGCATACGTATATGCCTTGTGGACATGTTACGGTAAAGTAATGTGGACATATTTTTACAAGCTAGAGGTAAAGAGGATATATTTTCACAAGTGTGAGGCACTGTGGACATTTCAGTATGCGAGTATTCTGAAGCACGGAAATATAAAACAGAAAGTTTCAAATGTTGAT